ATCCCTCTGGGTCTTCCCAGTGCACCAGCCCCGAGCACTTGTCTCATGCATCCAACCTGGGCTGGTGATCTGTTTCATCCTTGATAATATACATGGGGTGACTTTTAAGTTGAGTCGTCAGGGGAAGACTCACACAGAAGGTGACGTCTGAGTGAAGTCTCTGATATCCCTGCTCTGGTCTAATCGCATCATCCTCCCACTCCTGTACTCAAGCGGACATCTCTACGGGGGCAGGAGAACATGGCTGGGTGGCCAGAGAGCCTCTCACTCTGGAGGTGGGGCAGGCACCCTGGCCAGGGAGAACCCGGGAGCTTTGACCTCCAGCCTCTCCCTGCTACAAAGTCAGCAGGTACCTCTGTCCTCCATCTCAGTGGTGGACCCGTGAACATGTCCCAAACCCGCCAGCAGACCCTCTACCCTCAGAAGCAAATGCGGATTCAGAAAGAGTGAGTGAAGCATTTGAGAAAATTACCCAGGTTGCATTGTGGATAGATGTCTTTAAGTAGCAGCTAAAGTTAGAAGAGATGCAACAGTGCTCAACGACCTCTTCCCTTGGTTTCTAGCCAATAGAATCCCCCAGAAAGCTTTAGCAGGGAGAGACTATGGTCTGAAGATCATAGCAGCTTCTCCCCCATGGTTGTGCCTGAGTACCTCCTACCCACCACCAGCACCTCCTCCATACCACACTGAGATGTCTGTCGAAAAAAGCACATGTAGTTCATATTCATAGTTCAGCTGTATTCAGTTCTCCATACAAGGCATCCTGCCAAGCTCCTAACAAGCCCTTTTCTTTGCATCTTCACTCTAATCATCCTCTGAGTCAGCTACTATTTCCCCATTTGACAGATGAGGACACTGAGGCTCAGAGAGGGTCAATATTACAAGAAAATTGCACATCTCAGAAGCAGCAGGGCAGGTAGAGGACTCAGACAGCTGGTCCACCAGATTCTTAAACCCACAGTTAACTACCTGGGTATACCCCTTTTCCTGGTTCTGATGCTCAGAGAGACTGGCCTGTGATCACACAGACAATAAATCAGAGCTATCAATTAGGTCAGGTAAATTAAGCTGCGAGACGATCAACCCCCCAATTTCAGCCACTTAGCACAGCCCAAGCTCACATCTCGCTTACCCCGTACATGTAATCCACACGGGACTCTGCTCACCTCAGTCACCTGGGGGCCCAGGCTGATAGGAATTCCATCTCATCATAAGCTTCCCCGTCAGCACAGCAGGAAACAGAGTCTGACATGAGCTGCTGCTGCTGCTAAGTCACTTCAGTCGTGTCTGATTCTGTGCGACCCTATAGACGGCAGCCCACCAGGCTCCCCTGTCCTGGGATTCTCCAGACAAGAACACTGGAGTGGGTTGCCATTTCCTTCTCCAGTACATGAGAGTGAAAAGTGAAAGTGAAGTTGCTCAGTCGTGTCCAACTCTTCGAGACCCCATGGACTGCAGCCCACCAGGCTCCTCCGTACATGGGATTTTCCAGGCAAGAGTACTGGAGTGGGGTGCCATCTGACTTGAGCACTGGCCCTTAAAGCATCCTCCCTACAAGCCACAGGTCACTTGCACTCATTTTTTTTTTTTTAACAAAGCAAGTCACAGACCTATACCCAACTTCAGAGAGCCAGGAAAACCTGGGACCCCGGTGGGTGAAGGGCACTGACTGTGCCTCCAGGCCTTGGGAAGGAACACCAGCCTGCCTACCCTCATTGCTTGAGGTGTGTGCAGTCAGCCCACTGTGGACAACAATGCTCAGGTTATTTCCTTTTCTCTCCCTATTGATCCTCCTGTTTGGTTTATTTGCTACTGAAAATGAAACATCAGAGAGACCAATCCTGTCTAACCAGGCCCTTTCTTTATCAATGGCTTTGCAAGAGCGATGCTCAGGGCTTTTTAAGATCCCTGGGAAGCCTGCTGCATTTTTAGCTCATTTAACCTGCTGCCTGAAGTTGCAATAGATTTCGGGTCGTCTTGGAAGTCTGTGTGAACGAAAAACCTCCATCTTCCCAATTGGGTCTGAATATTTAAGATTTTGAAAGCTTGGCCAGTACCAGATTTAATTTTAAAGGGGAAAGAGGGGTTGCTTTTGAACTTCAAGAAAAAGGCTGGAGGCACAGCAGGGGCTGAGTTAGCAAAGGGAAAAGGCAAGAAAAGCCCTGTGGTCTTGAAAGAAAACGCTCCAAAGCGGAAACGCTAAAGCTTCCAGTTGGTGAGCCTTAAACCAGACTTCAAAAGCACCACTAGTTTAAATATTGTTTATAGGGCTGAAGTATCGCTCCTTTCTCTGGCTGGATTTTGAATATTCCCTAATTTGATTACTCGAGGGAGAGGCAGGCAGCATCAACGTTAAATGAGCTTCACTGTTAATTATTCAGAGGGCTTTTTATTGTGTAATCAAACATAAAGTCTTACAAAAAGCTTGAAGGCATATTCTCACCCCGCCCTCCGCAGTCCAACTTTCACCCTGTATGCATTCCTCGGGCATCGAGGCTGTGAGCTGGGAGATGCCCAGCAAGGCTCTGCCAACAAAGAGCGCACACATCCCCCTCTCCATTGGGGCTGGTAAAAGCCTTTGATTCTGCTACTCAGACCCCCATGCCACAAAAACCAGTCAGTAAGTAAGGTTCACCTTGGTCTCCTATCTGAGCATCTCCCCTGACCAGCAGCCCCTGATGAGTATAGATTCCTATTGGTGCCTCCCTAACAATCAAACTGGTCTGGCTGTCTCATTCCTTCTAGTCCCTCCTCTATGCTGAGTGACAGCCAGCCAAACGATTTGAAGGCTCCCAGACATCTAAAAATCCTTTCTGCAGGGAAAAAGGAGATAAACAGATGGATGGATGAATGGAGAGATCAAGAGATCAATCAGTTGTTACAAAGGTAGAGGTCGTTACTGAGTCTTTCAGCTTGCTTGTCAGCAGGGCTCCACCACCCTGTAGCCACAAGTCCAAAATCCAAAAGGCTCTGAAAACTCAGTTTTTTCCCATAACTCAGTTTGGCAGCAAAATCTGACATGAACCAAACAGATCTGGTGGCAAAACTTGAAGCTATTTGTAGTCTTTATCCCACCTAGTGTAAATATTCATATATACTGCTGCAGAAATATTAACATGTTTAATTAAAATATGGTGCCTCAAAGCCCACTGGAAGGATTATGTTAATATGTAGCATACATACAGGGTATTTCCATTGCGAAATGCCAAAATTCTGAATTTGGCAGCACATCTGGTCCCTTGGGTTTCAGATAAAGGGTTCTAGGGGTTACTTTCCAGACCTACTGGGGCTTTAGTCTTTTACTCAGAAAGTTACAACCCATGAGGGAAGATCCAGGTTTCCTGGGACCTGAAGTTTATTCAGTTGGGGAGAGGGGCACTTTAAGAAAAAGAATACAAAGTTAAAATACAAAAATTAGGTACAGGGCCCTGGAGGGACCCACTCAAGGAATGGTCATTAGATCCATTGTAAATATGCATCTGGGCGAGTGACTGAAGACCCCAAGTTTGTTTTCTCATCTGTAAACTGGGATGATAAATTGCTGCATCACAAGGTGATGTTGAGGTGATTCAGCGAGAATGCCCAGAAGCGTCTTGCATGTAGGACTGTATAGAACTTTCACTCAGTAAGCTCCAAACCCGTGATTTTCATTGTGCAACTCATCCCACAAGCTTCCCCCAGCACCCCTCCCCACAGCAAGCACACCCAGAAATTCTCTCTGTGTCACTCAGAATTGTCCCTGATGTGAGACCCTTAGGCACCAGAGCAGGCAGATTCAGAAACAAACATGCTTTTCAATTCACCCCCAAGAGGAACCACAGACCTGCTCTGGACCCGAGTCGAAGATGCAGATAGATGCAGAACTTGGACAAATACGCTCCACTGCCCTCAGGCCCTACCCAGCAGGCTGCGGTCTCCTAACCTCGATTCCCACTCTCAAGACCCCGGCCATGGAGAACCACCCCTCCCAGTTTCCTGACTACAGGAGGGGGAAAAATCACAGCAGAGAAGTGCCACCATCCATCACCGATTTATTGCTTTTCTTAAAAGTACTTGTAATAAACTGAGGCTCTAGAAACGGAAAACTCATTAAGCTGTTTCTCACTCAGGGACCCAGGTGGAAGCAAAAGCACAATAAAAAAAATCAATAAGGACAAGTCCATGGGACAGAGATGGGAGCACTTCGTCACAGCGCCGAAGGTAACCGTTTACTCGCCACTCTCCCGTCTGGTTACCAGCCCCAACTTGGGGGGGAGGCGGTTTTTGCCAGTCTTTTCTCTAATGGGATTTTTTTTTTCTAGTTGGTTCTGTGAGTGAAGGGAAATCAGAACCTCATGCTGTTGGATGACTTTTGTGAATTTTAATTAAAATGGTTATCTGGGGATTGTAGAAGAAATGTCATTTGGCTAGATATCACTTCACAGAGGCGGGGAGGAGTAGCTGCCTATGAAGATGTCACCAGGAGGAAATGGATTCACCTCGCTCTTTAGCTCTGTATTTCTAATCAATAACAGTCAATTCTCTTTCTCTCTCTCTTTTAACTCAGAAAACAAGAAATGAGTGATTGAACAGACAGGGCTTTCTACAAACTAGAACGTGGGTCTCTTATTAAGAGAAAATCCGGAGTTCTGTTCTTTTCACTCGAGTATTCCTAACTCCCAAACTCATCCACTTAGCAAACAAGCCCCGTAATAATAATAATGGCAGGAGTAGAGCGCTTAGGGCAGTTGAGAGAACACAGAGATTTTTGTTGAACCTGTGCCCCAACCCACAGAATGGAACTAATGTTGGTTTCTGCCCATTTCTCAACATTAGCAAAGAACCCCAGGAAACAATACGCAGTCTCCCTTTGAAAATGTTAAAATGCTGTGCATTATTTGGTGATATAGTTTTTAGAAGCCACTCTGTAAACAGAATTACAATGGGCCGGGTTCTGTGCTAAAGCAGCTCTTTAGGTGTATTAGCCAGTCCTGTCCTCCTGATACCTCCATAAGACACTATTCTTATTTCCAGGTAGGAGATCATAAAGTTGGGGCTCAGAGAGGTTAAGTAATCTGCAGAAGCCATGCAGAGCCAAGAGTTAACTAATCCCGGGTCTATTTATTAAACCCTGTTTATTAAACACCAAGCTCTTCAAAAGCATGTTCTCTCTGGCATCGTGATTATCATCGCCCCTCAGGAAGTTTCACCGTTTTCTTGCTTTTTCATCAGAGCACTCCTAGATCTGAGAAGTAGAGCCTTTGTTTTTATCGCAGAAAGTTGCTATGGAGATACCATGTGCATCTGTATCCAGAGATGCACAGAAAAAAGCAGCAGACGCCACAAACCTTTAAAAAAAAATGTCCTTCAGGAATATTTCAACTATAGTTGGAGGAGGGGTGAGCGAATCACTGCACTTGAACTCTGAGTTGAAATCCCTCCTGGGCAAGTTTGTGGGTCACACTCCAGGCTGCAGTGTGCTCTGTCCTGAGGGTGGGGAAGCACTGAATCAGGAGTCAGGAGACCTAGTTTAGCCACTGTGACCCAGTTCACTGCATGGCATTGGAGAAGTCCTTTCCCCTCCCTCGGCCTGTTTCTCCACCTGCAGAATAAGGACTTTGAAAGAGAGGCTCCAGGCAACTTCCACAGCAATCATTATTCTTCTTCATGTGTAGAGCTCACCAGTGACAGGGCAGTGATCCTCAAGGGCTGGGGAAATTGCATAAATGAAAAGATTAGGCTGGGTGATGTAGTAGGGAGTGGGGAGGTCTATGGCAAACAAGAATTCTCCTGCACAGCTAAAGTAAACAACCTCTGCCTAACTCTACTCATTTCACCATGTGAAAATGGGATCCAGAGCTTATTTTCAAGAGACCAGTAACCTCAGTACTTTATATGAAGATATCCCAGTTTGTAGAATTCTGAGCAGTTAAACATGTCTCCCCATGGGCCACCAGTTTGAAACCCCTGCTTCTACGAAAGTATAAGGAAACCTTTTCCTTGTTTTGCCAAAAAGCAGCCCCTTCTGGGTAGAAACACAGCAGCCAATTAACACCACTCTTTGAGTGAAATACCAGACACAGAGAAGAAGCATTTGGGGATTTAAGTCAACTCAGGGAGAGTCAGTTCAATAAAGGGCAAGCAGGATGCCGAATCTGCCTATCACACATCCCCCCACACACATTTTATTCTTCTGCCACTCTCAATTAATCAGAAGTGTCAGCCCTTCACTTTGGATTTCCTGGCTGCGGCTGTTAATTGAATTTTAATTAATGGCAACCTTAGGAGCACAGAATGAAATCCTAATGCAAGGAAGACGTACCCAGAACTCTGTGTGTGGAAAGCTCTTCTATGATCATCCTAGCCCATCCTCTCTGTTGTACAGATGAGGGAGTGGAGGTGGGGGAGTGACCTGCTGCTCCAGGCAAGTCCCTGGGCTGTGGGGCCAATGCTCATTGCAAGACTCCAGGCTGCCCTGGTGATACAATCTGTCCAGTCTTCAAAAATGACATTGATATGAAAGAGTCTGGTTCCCAGAATCAAGAATTCATGTTGTGCCAGGTGAGACAGGAAGAGCTGACCTTTACAGGTGTTACCCCAGAGCTCTGATACTCTCTCTCCTTAGGGGGGCAGGGAGCAGAGGGGCCCCCGGACGGTCTGGCAAGCTCTTGTCCATTGCAGTGCCGTGACTAACGGGACACTGCATCAGGCTGCTAATCTATCAAAGGGGAGAGCATGTCAGCTTTGGGCACTTGCTTTTTCTTTATCTCAGTCATTTTGTAATTTCATATACTCCCTTGGAGATCTGGTTAAATCTGGTTGAACTCCAGGTCCCCAGGCTGTCGCATTCTGAAACATTCCATCATTGTGTGGCGTTCCACTGAAGGTTTGTTGGGGGAGGTGGTGTTCACAGGGAGACGTCGCGTCTTAAGACCCACAGCCTTCTCCCATCTCTGTTCCCCGACCTTCTCCTCGACTGTGTAATGGAGAAATCCCCTCCCTATTCCAGAGCAGGGAGGTTCCACCTACACTCAGGGCCCCTGAAGTAGTGATAGCTTACGGTGAACAATGAAGAAGATTTAGCTTCGGGGACCGGGGACCAGGCTTGATCATTCAAGAGATTTTGTGTAGCAGAGTTTCATTAAAGTATGAAAAGGGACAGAGAAAGCTTCTGACATAGACATCAGAAGGGGGACAGAGAGTGCCCCCCTCGCTAGTCTAAGAGAGGAAGTTATATACTTTTTTAATTAGTTATTACACTAAATCAAAAGAATGTCTCAAGGTTGTAAAGATCTTACTAGACCCACTCCCATAATTTACATCTTAAGATAACAGGATTAGCCAGAAGGTTTTCAGGAAGGAGAAACTGTCCTCAATACATTGTTGTTATATAATCCTTAGTACAGAGTTTAAACTGAGTTGTTTGTTGTGTAATCATCAGTTCTGGGCTTAAAGAAAAAAAACATTTTATGTGACTAAGACTAGGGAATGAAGAGGGAAAAAAAAAAAAGATGTTTGTCCTTTCGTCCTCCTTGAGAATTCCAGACCCCTATCTCTGCTTTGAGAGTCTCAGACCCCATTCCCCTCCTCGGGGACCCCAGACTTATCAACCTCCCTAGAAACTGACTCTCTTAGTAGCCAGTCAAAAAATAACTTCTGATCACACACTGTGGACTCCCTAAGATGAGTCCTGCTGAAAACCATTCTCTCTGCCATGTTAGATGCTTATTATTGTGTGGCCTTCGGGTGTGCCTCTTCTCCTTATCTTCTCCCCTAGGGTGTCTCACACTATGAGTTTCAGCCAAAGAAGATCTCAGACTGCCCTCCAAGGGCTTTCATTTCAAGTGTTCTCAAGTGAAATTGTTTCTATTTTAATGGAGTATAAACTGTAGCCCAAACCTGCATTGAGCTCTTACCCAGAGTAGCTGAGTAAATTGGGACAGGTTAGGAAGCCTAAGACTTGAATCATGAATTAAATGAGGACATAACCACACAAAGTACATTTGAAAGTGACAACCAGTAATGCAAGAGGGTGTGCGCGCACGCACACACACACACACGCATACCTGTAACCTGCCCACTCTGACTCCTTTCAAAAATTCACATTCCTCTCACAGGACTTTCCCTACCTTCCGCCTTTTACCTACTAAGACTTGTCATCTCAGTCTTCCTGCCCACCTCCATCATGGCTCCTCCCCTTCTCCCCGAGAGTGCCACCTCATCAGTCAAATCTGCCTCCCCAACTCCACCTCCTGAGTGTAAAAGCTAGAGTTTTCTCCATTTCGTATTCTTCAGAAAACCCCAGCGAATATAAATCTTTATTCTTTGAGGCCCACGTGTCATCTGGTGAACATAAAGTTGATACCTAGAACTGGGGGAGTGAAAAACAAGATGCAGCTAAAAGAAATTAGACCCCTCCTCCCCTAGTTTAAAAATCAACTCTGATGGTTGTCACAAAAGGAAAGTCAAAAAGTGTTCTGGTTCATGGCAGCATCATTGGATTACATGTTTATCTTCCTTTGGTGACTACTGGGCAGTCATGGCACTTACTGAATAGAGTAAGTCCCATCAAACTTGCTTCTGGTAATACACACGTATAAATGACATCAGTGTGTGACAGGTTTCCCCAGACCCAAAATATATCTCATGGTGTTTGGAAAGAGTCAAAAAGAATTCACATTCAGAGCCAGAGTTTAGATTTTTTTCTTCCTTCCCTCCCCTCGCCACCCACAACCCCCACACACACACCATTTCCTTCATTCTTTCTAAAATCCCCCTTTCTTATTTCTTTTCTTCAGACCAAGAAATTCAAAATTCCTGTAGCACGCCCCACCACCCGCAAACCAAGCCGGCGAGGCTCCACCCTCAGTCTGTCTCGGACAAGTGGAGGGTCATCCCCCCAGAGCAGCATGGTTTCCGTGAACCCGGGCTCGGATGAACCTCCAAGTGTGATCACCCAGGCAACAGGCAGCAAGGACATCGAGGACAATGAATCATCTTCGACCAAGCCTGAAGAAGAGCCCGTCCATATCAGTAAGTCCTGCCTTAGATCTGACCAGTCTGCGCTGACTCTGCCTTGAAGCCAGACATCAAGAGCCCCTCATGCTTCACCTGTACCTCCACTCAGTTAAAGAAGACACACAGGTCCCTGAGCCCTGGTCAGTTTCCCAAGACCCCAGTAGAAATCAGAAATAAACTCTGACCTGGGTTACTCTGAACCATTTCTACTTGGGATACAGCCCATGGTCATCAATTGCTCTTTTTAAAAATTTTAATACTGTATTTTACTTAGCCACATTTATAAAATATTGTCATTTTAACATGTAATCATATAAAAATATTGATAAGTTTATTTATGTTTTCATACTATATTTTTGAAATTCAGTACCTGCTTTTTAAAACAGCTTTATTGAGATATAACTTGCATACCATAAAATTCACTTGTTTGAAGTGAATGATTCACTTAAATTCAATGATTCTTTGTAAGTTTATATAGTTGTGTAAGTGAATAATTCACTTAAATTCAATGATTCTTTGTAAATTTATAGAGTTGTATAATCATCACCACCATCTAATTGTAGAATATGTCAATCAACCCCAAAGGAAAGCTCATGTCCATTGACAGCCCTTCTCCTTTCCCACCACAAACTTTCTTCCTGTCTCTGGAAATGTGTCTTTTCTGGATATTTGATACAGGAAGTTGTATCACACTGTGAGCCCCTTTCTAAGACACCTCTGAGGCTTTCCCAGTGGCCTCCCTCCTCCGAGTCTAACCAGTTGCCTACTGCAGCCAGTGGCACTCCCCAAACTCTTTTGGACCCTGCCCTCTTTACTCCTATCTTTTGTCTTAGTTTAGAGATAGAAAGAAAGTTAGGGCACATAGGCTAGTTCCTGCCATCCGTGTGTTATTTAGCACAGAAGGCTTTGTTTAAAAAAAAAAAAAAAGTAGGAGTGACTTTTTAAGCTTGAAAGTTTCGACATGGAAATCCTGGCTTTAAAAAATGTTACTCTTTGTGGCAACAGAAGCCCAGCAACCTGTATGAAAATATTCAACCTGAGCTGCCCTTCTTAAGTGGGGCATATGCTCTTCACTGCAAAGTTTCCCCTGACTTTCCTCTCAGCTCCTCATATTTTTACTTGCTTGTGTTAAGTTGTTAAGTGCATGCCTGCTCAGTGGTGTCTGACTCTGTACAACCCCAGGCACTGTGCCCACCAGGCTCCTCTGTCCATGGGATTCTCCAGGTAAGAATACTGGAGCGGGTAACCATTCTCTTCTTCAAGACACTTTCCCAACCCGGGGATTGAACCCCCAACTCCTGCATCTTCTGCACTGGCAGGTGGGTTCTTTACCACTGAGCCACCTGGGAAGTCCCATTAGGTACTTAATTTTCATTTAGTACAACGACATCTCCCTGTTTCAGGTAGGAACTTCTTTTGGCTAGGTATGGAGACCTGAAAAATACTAGTTTAAAAAAGATAAAAATTTACTATCTTTTTCTTTTTTTTTGCAGGTTAGAAGTAGTGCAAGTTGCTCAGTTGTGCGCGACTCTCTGCAACCCATGGACTATCCAGTCCATGGAATTCTCCAGGCCAGAATGCTGGAGTGGGTAGCTGTTCCCTTTTCCAGGGGATCTTCTCAGATCAGGGATTAAACCCAGGTCTCCTCTACTGCAGGCAGATTCTTTACTAGCTGAGCCGCAAGGGAAGCCCAGATTAGAGATAGGGTAGTTCCAAAATATCACTAGGGATCCTACTTCCTTCTGTCTTTCTTCTTCACCATGGATCACTTCATGGTCCAAAATGGCTGCTAGAATGCCAGTCATCAGAGCCACATCCTTGGACGGAAGCAGAAGGAAGTAGGTAAAGTAGAAAAGTGCTCACTTCCAATCAAGTTTAAGCACTCTTCTCAGAAGCTTCATACAACATATCTCCTAAAATCTCATGGGTCAGAATTTAGCCACAGGACTTAGTCACAGCATTTAGTCCTTTAGTTGCAAAGGATGTTGGGAAATTGGGGTAATATATGCTTCCTCCCATGCCCACCCCCTTCCCACACACGTACACTGAGTACATATGCGTACATATATTTGTGTTACTAAGGAAGAACGGGGAAAGGAGTGTGAGCTCCCTTCAGGCATGGAACAATGTCTTACCTTCAACCTGGCACACAGCAGGTACACAGCTATGGCAGGGAGATGCATTCCCGCCAGAGACCAACGTCCAGAGAGAGGGTTCTTCTCCCTCCAGCTCCTCACCCTTCTCCTCTATTCATCCCTTAACCTCGACTGCATTTGTCAGAGCCTTCACAAAAGTAGATTAATTTCCCAGACTTTCATTGCCTTCTAAAACCTCCTCAAATTGATTCTGAATTCATGAATCCTATTCTGAGAGACACACCATCTGACCAAGGTTTAATTTCCAGGGCTGGCTGCATAATGAAGTCTTTGTAGACACAAATCACTGGGGACAGCGGGCCATGGCCTCTGTGTGGACTAGTCTCCTCCCAAGTCAGTGATCAGGGGATTCCAGAGAAACTAAAGCCTGGGCCATTTCTCTTGCCAGTCTTGAAGCTGCTGGTCTTGAAACTGTTAGAGGAAAAACTCACTTAAGTAGTAAGTCAAAAAGAAGGGTCCTGTGGCTTCTACTGTTCCTGCAACCCCTTGAACCAACCCCATACAACAAAAGGACTCCCTCTCTTTTGCCCCAAAGAGAGGGTATAGTTGCTCTCAAGTAAGGTTCTTAGACTGGCTGGGGATGGGCGACGGAGGAGGGAATTAGAATTTTTTCTTTAGGGGTGTGGCTTGTCATCCAGAACCAGAGGATGCTGTTGTATCTGAGCACTGGGTAATGGCGTGTCCATGGCCCTCGGGACTAAGAACTGGGCAGGTTCCTCCAAGTGTGGGCATCCATCACAGGGCTGGCTTCCTCAGGGAAACTCTATCTCGTGGCGTCTGTACCTTTTGCAAACAAGTCTCTCCTTTCAGGTAGCTTCTGTGGGTAAATACAGGCCTCACAGCCCCAAGGCTTTGTTCCAGTTCATACACATCCAGCCTCAGCTACGGGATGGATGGACCTCGATGTTGGCAGGCATCCTTCCTGCCCAGAGGCATTACTGGCTAGCAGGAAAAAAACAAAACAAAACTTCGGTTCCTTAAGCGGCGTATGGAGCCATAGAGGGGATTCTCTGGGAGAACTGCCCAATGTGCCAGGTCCCTGGGGTCATTCTCTGGGACCTACCCACTAGGCTGATTTGCTTACAAATAGGGGCTTCCCTGGTGGCTCAGAGGTTAAAGCGTCTGCACGCAATGCAGGAGTCCCGGGTTCACGGTCCACGGGGTCGCAAAGAGTTGGACACGACTGAGCAACTTCACTTCACTTTCAGGGGCAGAAATGGGGGAGAAGAGAAGGGAAGAAAGCCAGAGCTCCCTCACTAACAGGCTTCCGGACACGCCACAAGGATGCTGGGACGTAGAGCAGGAGGGGAGGTGGGCATGACAGGACAAAAATGAAGATCAGATTCAGGTCAAATGGAACCCTGCCCACAGGTTACTAGGAAGGTGAACTGCTTGAGAATGAGGAAGGTGGAGTAGAAAAGGGCTAAATGATGATTATCACAGCCTGGATGGCTGAGGGGAGGTTGCTGAGGGGAACACCCTCTTCCCGGCACGCAGTGACTGCTTTCACAAACCAGGCTGGACATGAACGGTCCTGGGAAGCGCTGGCTTCACCCATCCGGGTATGGCTTTTGAGCCTTAACCCTGAGGCAACTAGACACCTACTGAAGAAAAGTGTCTACATTGGCACTGTCTTCCTTCATCGATATTCCAAATCTAGCTCAGAGCTTTCCAAACCCCTCCTGTTTTTTTCTCCTTAGTCGTTTACTGATCTATTCTGCAAATATTGACAGTGCCTGGATGACAAGCACAGTGCCAGCTACTTACCCATCTGTATCCATATAAAGCACTTAGAGCTTCTTCTCTCCTACTCACCCAGAAGCATGTAGCTTACTCCAGATATATGTTATTTTCCAGTTTTTAAGAGTGTCCATGTACTAGATTCCTGGAGCTTCCTTAACAAAGCACCATGTCCTGGGTTAAAGCAGCACTAATTTATTGTTTCACAATTCTGGAGGTTAGACTCCAAGAGGTCAGCAGGGCTTTGTTTCCTCTGAAATCCGTGTGGAAGAACCCTTCCCTGCTGTTTTTAGCTTTTAGTGCTGTTGGCATCCTTGACAGTTTGGCTTGTAGATGCAGCAATAGTCCAGTCTGCTGCTGTCCTCACATGGCCACCTTCTCCACTTACTACAAAGACACCAATCACATTGGATTAAGGGCCCACTCTACTCCAATGTGGAGCTTCCCAGGTGGTGCTAGTGGTGAAGAACCCGCCTGCCCATGCAGGAGACGTAAGAGACACGGGTTTGATCCCTGGGTCAGGAAGACCCCCTGGAGGAGAGCATGGCAACCCACTCCAGTATTCTTGCCTGAAGAATCCTATGGACACAGGAACCTGGCTAGCTACAACCCATAGGGTTGCAAAGAGTCAGACTTGACTAAAGAGACTTAGCACGCACACATGCCACTCCAGTGTATCCTCATCATTACTATACCTGCAGCCACCATATTTCCAAATAAAAACATGAATAATTTATATTCTGAGGTACTGAGGATTAGGACTTGAACATTATCTTTTGAGAGAACTCAAGTCAACACTCAGTAGTCAGACACAGAGAAATATCTCTACATCGTATAAAAAGCAACAATACGAAGTATGGAAATACAAGTCAACTAGTGTGATGATGTGTAGGGGGAGCGATGGTGAGCTGGAGAATGCCCTGAAAGTCTGAAGGCCCCATCAGCACACAACAGATGAGCCCTACCTCAGAGTCTTTACAGGGAAGCTGGAGGCCTGGGTGTTTTTATGGGGAAACTGCCAGTTTTAACAAGTTTGGGCATCCCAGTCCAATCCAGTCCAATCAGCCTATGGGTTACCATTTTGGAACCTCAGGCCTATGGGGTAAGAGAAGGTTTTCCCCCACAAGGTGATTTCTTGATTTCTTCTTGGAAGCAGAAGCAGTGCTCGCAGGCTGACAGTAGAGTTCCAGGGGGAAGAGGATGTGGAGAATGGCATGAGACAGGAGGGACAAAGAGCAGCCAAGACCCACAAGGCCTCACAGGCCACAGGGAGGAGTCCAGATGGCATTCCAAAGGAGATGGCTGGTCACTGGTAGGAGGCAGAGGAGTCGTATTTACAACCTGTCAGACTTCTAGACCCTGGTCTTATCCTTCTCCAGCCCCGCAGTGCTCCAAAGTGAAGTGAAGTGAAAGTCGCTCAGTTGTGTCCGACTCTTTGTGACCCCATGGACTATACAGTCCATGGAATTCTCCAGGCCAGAATACTAGAGTGGGTAGCCTTTCCACTCTCCAGGGGATCTTCCCAACCCAGGGATCGAACACAGATCCCCCCCATTGCAGGCAGATTCTTTACCAGCTGAGCCACAATGGAAGCCCAAGAATACTGGAGTGGGTAGCCTATCCCTTCTCCAGTGGATCTTCCTGACCCAGGAATCAAACCAGGGTCTTCTACATTGCAGGTGGATTCTTTACCAACTGAGGTATCAGGGGCCAGTGCTCCAAAGCAAAGGTGATATCAGGCTAGGGGCTGGGCTCTGATCTGCTCAGTCCTGTGTCACAGGCACCCTGCAGAGAGTGACTTCTTGTGTTCCCATCAGATCTGCAGAAGCTTCTAGAGATGGTTCGGGAAGATGCCCGGAGAGCAATCACCATGGAAAACGAAATGCAAAGACAGGCACCCAGGTATATTCTCTTGATACCTAGTCAAATAAAGGATGTCAGCATCAGAGTGATATCGTTCACGCCAGCAGTGCCCCATGGTTGAGCATTTTCTCTGTGACAAGTGCTGACTCGTGTACTTTGTTCACATATATCACCTCCCTGAGTTCTTCCAACATCCCCACAAGGTAGGTACTGTTGTCTGTATTTTACAATAAGGAAATGAGGTTCAGAGAGGGTAAGGAAATTGTTTCAGGTCACCCAGCTAACGAATGGCAAGGCGACAACTCAAAGCTGCAACTTTCTTATCCCAAAAACTCTTCCTTTAATGACTCCACTGCCCTTCTTCCCAGGAACCCAAAGGTTATTCATTCATTCTCTTAGTGAGTATTTATGAATATGGATGGACCACCCGTACTCATTATTGCAGGAAGTGTTATGAAAGAAATCTCAGACCTGTAAGAGGAAGTAGTAGGAGCATCTGATCTTGTCTGGGATGGGGATCAGAGGAAGCTCCCTCCAAGGAGGAAACTTCAAGCTGAGATTTTGGATGAAGCATGAAGAAGAGCTAGCTAACCAAAGTTATGGGAGGAGCAGGGAGAGCAGGCAAGGGGAGTGAATATTATAGGCATACATGTGCAAACATGCTCAGAACGGACCACAATGCTGCCAGAATGGGACAGGGAGAGGTATAAGTCTGCCGGGACCTCGGAAGCCACCTCTACGATTCTGATTTCTATCCAAGGAGAAAAAAGAATCCCTTTGAAGTTTTGAGCTGACAGGCAACCAATGTAATTGGCTCAGAGAGTCAGGACTTGAACCCGAGGTGTCCTCCTTCTGGCGGAAAGCCCCGGGTACTGGACGTCTAACCCTCTAAAAGCCTCGGAGAGCATGCAGGCTAGAACTGAAGCTCCCTTTCCAAGTGTGGATCCCTCTGAGTAAGGAAATTACTTCCCGAGAATAAATGAGGCACGAGAGAGGTTCATCATCGCCTTCAGCCTACTAGGATGCCGGCTATGACTTATTGGTTATTGTTATTACCATAATTACAGTTCACCAAGCACGCTCACATGCATCACACCCGCCTCTGCTTGTTCATGATGAATTGGCAGCTGCTTCTGCTTCAGCTTGCTTCAGGGCCCTGGAGGGTGGCTCTGAAGGCACGCGGCGACAGTGTTGGCCCTTACGGCCCCAGCCTCTTTGCCTGACTTATCAGCATTAAAAACAGATGACAGTGATGAAGCATCAGCTCCAAGAAACTCCTTTCCTGTGTGAGCACTCACATCATGAACACTGGCTTTGGAATCAGACTGACCTAGTGCCTTTGAACAAGTCCCTCAGCCTTTCTCTAAACCTCCGTTTTCTCATCTGTAGAATGAGATTGTGTATCATCCAAGCATTGGCAGTGGTACCAAGTAGAGCAGGGTTGAGCTCCATTTCCATGAGTTAATGGCTGTGTGCTGTTGAGCAAGTTGCTTCACCTCTCTGAACCTGATCCCAATTCTGTTAAATGAGGCTCATTAATAACTTATCCCAAAGGGCTGCAATGGGAATTAAATGATAATTTCCTGGTAAAGTGTTTTTATTATTATGGAAATAATGTCTACGTCACCAAGTCACATTAAGCATTTAGTGAGATAGTGCATTTAACATATTAGCCTGTGCCTGGCATATTGTAAGCGTGTAAAAATTGGTGACAGTGGAGGTGGTGGTTACTTTTATTTCATGTGCAGTGTCCTATGGAAACTTTGCAGCACTTTGCTGAGACAGATTGATTAACCAGTGCCCTATTCCTTTGTCCCATCTCATAGATGGAGAAGGATGACTCGCTTCAGGCGCTCAAAGACTAAACCACACAAGAACCTGGTTCTCACAAAACTCCTCACCTGGCCTCTGCATTCACTTTAATGATAAAATAACCATGGTTACAGTGCAAGAACCTGTTGAAGTTTCCCATCTGCTTCCATTCCTCTAGGAGAAAAGTCTCCCTAATCTCTCACAAAGACAGCAAATATTGGAGTCTTCTCTGCAGAGATGCACAGAGCCAGTTAGGGAAAGCTGCAGGTTTTCTTTTGCCTGCCTCACTTTAAAAATGTAGATTCCTGTTTCACTTTAGACACCAAATCTGCTCCCATCAAGACTGACATAGAATTCTGGGCTTTTTAGAAACCCCTGAAGACCTGCCTTTCCAGCCCCTAGCCTCAAGGGCCAGACTGCCTCTGGTCCCAGGTCTTCGTGTGTTCAGGCTGATATAACAAAAAATACCATAAACTGAGTGGCTTGTGAACAACATTTATTTTGCACAGTTCTGGAGGCTGGAAAGTCCTGGATCCAGATGCCAGCAGATTCAGTGTCCAGCAGGGACTCTCTTCCTCATAGATAGCTGCCTCCTCACTGTGTCCTCATGTGGTAGAAAGAACAAGCTAGTTCTCCAGGGTCTGTTTTACAAGGGCATCAATTTCAATCATTAGGGCTCCCCCATCATGATCTAATCACCTCCCAAAGGCCACCACCTCCTAACAACATCCTCTAAAAGGTTAGGATTCAACATATGAATTTGGCAGATGGGGAAGGGAGCAGTAGTAGTAGACCATAAACATTCATATCATAACATTGTCTAGGAAGATGACCTTTTCTTAAAATCCTCTAGCAGTCTTTCCCAAACATCCCTGAAGATCAGAATCAGCTGGGGCGCTTGAGAAAACTACTGATTTCTGGTCTTCATCCCAGACACACTGAAGCAAAATCCCTAGAGGAAACCATATTTTTTAACAAGTGCTTTGAGCAGGCATTGTTTCGTGGTGTGTCAGGAAATTTCAAGGTTTTCAAAGTATGTTCTCTGTGAACCTGAGTCAGAAGACTGTGCGCACGTGTGTGTGTGTGTGTGGTTTTAAACACAGCTTTGGGGTCCCACTCCAGGCCTATGTTTCCAGATCTCTAAGAATGTGGCTCAAGAGTCTACACTTGTATTCTGAGCTGTTCCTCCAGGGGACTTATATGCCCTCCTATAGAGCCTAGGATCCCCGCTGTGGATGAGCACCCTCCGTTCTCCCATGGATGTTCACTGCCTCAGAGCATCATATGTTCAGAACCTTATTAAGTGACTCATCTTGCTTTGCAGCATCTTGTCAGTGCTCAGACAAAACAAGAGCGATTCTGCCTATAAGGACATGCAGACCACCCGCAAATCAAGGTAGGAAGGCCTGGGGCCCTAGTGGGTAAGTCAGGAGGCAACACGCAGTTACCGGGGACATTGCAGAGACACCCTCACCAGACTGTGGGAAGGGGGGCAAGGAGGGGGATCTTCTTCCTTCTTCACTGAAAATAAGTTACTTGACTCCCAGGGCTTGGTGGTGAGTATCCAGCCATTCCTTCCCAGCAATTGTGTGCCGTAAAGTTAGTCTTCTCTGGTAGTGGAGGGATGAAGGGGGGACGGTGTGTTTTGGAACTACCCGCTCCCTCTTTACTCAGGTGACTTGTAATGGGACCGGTGCAGGTCTACCCCCAATTCATTTGTTCATCTAGAGAATACTTCTCAGTCCCCACTTTGTCCCAGGAGCTGTGCTCAGCTCTTTTGAGATTCAGCAGCAAACAAGACAGATGCAATGTGCCCTGTGGGTAAAGCCCACTATCTAGTCTGGCATCATAACTCCTTCTGTGTCATAGACTCTTTGACCATCCAAGAAAGCTTATGGATGCCTTTCAGCAAAGTGCTTCCAAATGTAGGCTGTAAATTACAGAAGTTTACAAAGAAATCTATAGTAATATTGATTATAATGTTACAACCAGATATGGGATATATAGTCATCTGTGAGCTTTGTCAGCAGTGCCTTATACAACAAGACATAGCAGCAGTTCTGATAACTACTATAATTTTCGATTAATGTCAAATGTAAATGATTTTTTAAAGTATCTCCCATAATTTTAATGTGATGTGTAAAAACCTGTGATTTCCATTTCTGTGAAAGGCTAAAGATGCAACCTGTTGGGTTTTTTTGTTTTTTTTTTTCCCATCTGCATTCTTGGACTCCTTGAATCCTGCCAATGGTTAAGAGCTGCTGTTCTAATGGGAGAGTCATGCATTTATCAAATAATCCCATAGAGATAGCTATGTCATCATGACCATAGATAGCATTCTGAAGGAGAATTATGGAGGATTAGGTGAATGTTGAGCACCAGGATTCTAACCAAGACTGAGTCTGACATTTAAGCTAGGACCTGAAGGGAAAAAGAAGAATTAACTAGCCTATGGCTGGGAACAGTAGGATCTGAAATCTGCATTCATTCTGAGCAGTTTCTCCTGGTGATTCCTGTGCCTTCCCATAGAACCTAGGGTCCGTGCTGTGGAGGGAATAGAAGGAATAGCATTCCAAACAGAGGGAACAGATGTGCAAAGGGTCTGAGGCAGGAGGAAGTTTAGAGGCACTGAGCAAAGACCAGTATGGCTGAAATTCAAGGAGGGTCAAGGAAAGGATTGACTGAGACAGGCAGAAGGGTCCTTTGTTGTTTTTTTTTTTCAATCACAGCTAATAACACTACTTCCTTCACCTGCCTCCCCCTGAGTCACGCTGTCAGCTCTAGAAGAGAGCCATCTATAGGAGGAGGGTCAAAGCCCACTTTCCTCCCCCAAAGAATTCATCAGCAGAGGTAGGGGCAGCTGGTTGGAATCCAAATGCAATGCCTTCTGGGTATTATTACCAGGGCTCTGCTCCCTAGTAAGATGGGATAAGGGTTTGCACTATCATCTGCCAGGCCTGAGACCTATGGGTCCAGTCCCATGAGCCTCTGGGAAAAGCAGCAAAGGCTGGGCCCTTTCCTGTGGGGAGGGGTCTGAGAAATGGCTGGCCTTCCTGAAGAAGTCCAACATGTCACAGGGCAGGAAGGGGAGGATTTGCCACACATCACAGGGATAAGAAAAATAGTCTCAGTCTCTAGAATCCCACAGATAAAGCAGTCAGGTCAGTGTCTCAAACATCAGGAAGGAACAGAGCGGGGCAGGGTGTGAGAGAAGATGCTGGACACAGCGCTGGAGGCCCAGGTCCCTGGGGGAGGACCCAGCAGAAGGTATGGGGGGACGGGGATGAGCAAAGAGCTTCACCCCATCTAGGGACCTCAGCCAGGCAGTTATCGGAGGGAGCAGCCACTTAAGGAAGTCAGTCACCTCCCAACCTATAAAAGGTCAAATGGCACCAGGTGTTGCCTAATCACAGATGAGGGAACTGGCACTCCAGAGCAGAGGCGCTTCTCCACAGCCCAGGAGTGGACAGTGCCAGGGCTGGGCTCTGAACCCAGCTCTGTCTGTCTCCCAAATTGAGTGAAATGGGTGTTCAGCATGAGGGTCCAGTTCAGATAAGAGAATCCTTGAATGAAGAGGCAGCCTGGGGCTGGGACCACCCCAGAGAGCATGACCAGGAGGACTTGCCCCTCCCCAGATCTGCACTCAACCCCAGGAGAGGCACAGACAGAGAGCAGAATGGGAATGTCCATAGTGAACCTGTCCTCCAGGTGGAGAGGCCGATTTTATACAGAAGCTGGTTCCTGAAAACTTGTCATCCCAACAACATGCAGAGGCAGTAGGCCACCACTGGACTAGGAGAGTCGGAGCAGCACTTGCTCTAGGGCATGAGATTGGACAGGATTTGAGCAGCTGGGGAAGAAACAAGGAAGACTCTCCAAGCAGTATCCGGTGGGAGCAAAGGTCAAAGTGTGGGGAAAATACGCAGTTCTATCAAATGCCTTGATTAGAACCACCACACTCACCTGAGGCTGGCAGGTGTCACGGGGGCCCTGAAGTCACCCTTTGGGGGCAAATCAGACTCCAGGCAACATGAAACCATTTCTCTGTGTCTCAGTGACAGATCCAGCAGTACAAGTGGAGACAGCCACTCCCAAGTGCTCCAGAAGAAGCTTAAAAGGTACGCCAGGTGGGCAACGGAAGGTGCCAGGCAAGAGGGACTGTGGCAACTGCAGCCTCCATCTTCCCAGGGCTGTAGAAATAACCCAGTGCCAACCAGACTCCCTGAAGCCATAGATACAACTGAAGGACAAAAGACTCCCAGGGCAAGGGGCTTATAGCCAAGATGTGGAGCATCCCATGCAGACAGTGGCAACAGATTCTTCCTCCATGCTGGCACTTGTTGTTCAGTTACTCAGTTGTGTCCAACTCTTTGCAACCCCATGGACTGCAGCACTCCAGGCTCCCCTGTTCTTCACTGTCTCCCGGAGTTTGCTCAAACTCATGTCCATTGAGTCGATGATACCATCCAACCATCTCATCCTCTGTCACCCCCCTTCTCCCCCTGCCCTCAATCTTTCCCAGCATCAGGGTCTTTTCCAATGTGTCAGCTGTTCACATCAGGTGGCCAAAGTATTGGAGCTTCAGCTTCAGCATCAGTCCTTGCAAAAAATGTTCAGGGTTGATTTCCCTTAGGATTGACTTGTTTTATTCCTTGCTGTTCAAGGGACTCTTAAGAGTCTTCTCCAGCGCCACAGTTCAAAAGTGCTATATTCATTATTGCTTATTCCTCAAAACTAATTTTGTGAGGCAGGAGTACTGTCCCATTCTACAAGGAAACAGTCTGAAACCTGGCCAGATAAAATGTCTCACTGGAGGCCACATAGCTAAAATGTGGTGGTAGGAAGTTTGAACCTGAATCTCTCACCTCTCAGCTCCAGGTTCTATTTTCATCTCACTGTCCTTAGAACTTACTGAGCTAAAATGACCAGAGGTCTCACCATGGGCTCATGTAATAAGGCCTGAGTCACCAGTCCAACATTGTTGGGAAGGTCTGTTATTCCCTACATCCAGGGGGATGCTGAAGGAGGTCCCAGGTGAGGACGGAGAACCTGGCTGTGTATTACTGCAAAGCACCTTGGGCCCCAGGGATGCGTCTGTCCCTTGGGCTTGGTCCCCTAAGCCCATCTTATCTGTGTCCACAGCCGCGCCAACCGTGACATCATCCAGTACAAGAGTGGGGTGTGTAACACCATGAGGGCCAAGTTTTACAGCGTGGCCCAGGAGGCTGGCTTCTGCCTACAGGATAAGATGGAGATCCTCATGAAGTAAGAGCTCACGTGTGTCCATTCACTCAGAGGACATTCATCTGGCACTTAGTATAGAACCACCAGATGCTTGGTGTTGGAACCATAACAGGGAATGAGAAGGACATGTTCCCTGCCCCCAGGGACCTTATAGTCTCCTGGAAGATCTGGGCAGAGACAAAGCAGCTGAGCTGATAGCTTTATAGGTACAATTTATAGTCATTGCTCCACAGTAAGGGAAAGGGCTCTAGGAGAAGGAGTGAAACCATGAGGACCTAATGCAGGCTGGGTAATCCAGCAAGCCCTCTCTCACAAGGTGACATTAAGGCTGAGCCCTGACAAGTTGGGATTTATCTCAGAGACTTTGTTCACTTGAGCTCAGTTGCTTAGTCTTGTTTGACTCTGCAGCCCCTTGGACTGTAGCCCGCCAGCTTCCTCTGCCTGTGGAATTCTCCAGGCAAGAATACTGGAGTGGAGTGCCATTTCCTCCTGCAGGGCATCTTCCTGACCCAGCTCATGAACCAAACCCTAAAATGCTGGGAGAAAAGGGGTGGGAAGGGTAGAGATAAGGCTGGAAGTTGCCATAGGGGTGGAATAATCCAGAGCTTTAGGGGTAAGTCACTCAAAGGACTTTATTCTAGGTAAATGGAAAGCCATAGAAATGCATGAATGGTTGAGGACATGGTTATATTTGTAACATAGTCTCTTTGGAGAGAGAAAATACATGCACAAGATGATGAAGGACATGAGGAGGAGAGGAACCAACATGAGTTAAACACCTGCTGTGAGTCAGCACTAAACTCAGCACTATACACACATTATCATTTACTCCTCACCACTGGGATCTAGGATTAATTATTATCCTCCATCTTACTGATGAGAAAACTGTGGAAATACAGTCAAAAGTAGGGAGAGAACGAGAGCTGATTAAAAAGTGACTGGGTTTAGTAAGACATGAGCCTTTCAGGACCTTGGAGAGAGCTGTAGCCTCATGCCCAAAGCCCGCTGGTATCTTACAGGGTAGCTGAGAGGGTTAAGAAGGACCTCAAGAAGGAAAAGGTGTTTAACTCAGATCTCTGAGGGCAGCTAGGAAGGTGAAAGAAAAAGAGTATCTGATTCATCTTCCTTTTTCCCATACCATCTGTGATGCAGGCGCCAAGAAGAAAGAGGTATCCAGAAGTTCCACTCTTTCAACCTTGTCTCAAATTTCCAAAAGGACATAACCAAAATGAGACACCAAGTCTCCATGGTAAAAGGCGATGCGAAAGAAATTGCAGACCACTGGTAAGGATCCTGAGAGCCTGATAAGGCAGTCCCTGGAAGGGGTGAAGGGGGTACTGGTGTTACAAAGTTACATTCAATACCATTATCCTCAAAACAGAGAGGCATCACCCCAAAACTGTCCTCGGCCACCAAGAGGGCCCCGCTCCCAAAACAGGCTATATCCAGAGTATAATCAGGCATGAAACCCCTCTGTTCCTGAGCCACAGATAATCTACCTAGCTGCACTCTCTATATTTACCTTCTGTTTGCTTCAGCTTGCAAATATAGACTCACTTGCCAACCCCTATAAGAGAAGCAGGAGAGGCAAACCAATCTGAAAATACCTACAGACCTCTGGGGGGAGAACTATAGTCCCCAAATAATTTAACTCTTAATGATACAAAGCCATACAGGCATACCTCAAGAACACTGTGCCCCCAACACAGGGGTGATAATAAATACAGCACAGAATATTGCAAATTGAGAAATTACTGGATGGCAGACACTCCACTCCTAAGCACTTTTCATGAATTACCTATTTTATTCCACACAAAAATCCTGAAGGATACATATTACCCCCCACTTTACAAATCAGGAAACTTTAGGATTTAAACCCCTGTCTGACCTGTCTCTATGCTTATCTGCAATATAAAATTGGAGTCTGATTTCCCAAACCTCCATCCTGTCAGGGTGAGTAAATCAAGATCTTAGAGTAAGATAGGAAAGCCTAAAAATGTACCGAGAATCCGTTCAACAATTTTAATAATGCAGAATGGGAGCTTACAAAGAGATCAGAATAAATATATAAACATACATCACAAATATAAAGCAGTATGAGCAGCCAAAATGTATGATGGATGATCAAGTTTTTCTTCAACTTTTTCTACAATCAGGGGAAAAACCCATTTTCCATGAGATAACACCCCTACCTTCACCCACACCTGAGCCCCCAGGTTAGAACCTACCTTTTTGCCACTGTCTCAAGAATGCATTCCCAAACTACCTTCACACGCTGTCATAATATTAATTTTTTTTGTTCAGTTACTCAGTCATGTCCAACTCTTTGCAACCCCATGGACTGTAGCATGCCAAGCTTCCCTGTCCTTCACCATCTCCCAGAGTTTGCTCAAACTCATGTCCATTGAGTCCATGATGCCATCCAACCACCTCATCCTCTGTCACCCCCTTCTCCTCTTGCCTTCAATCTTTCCCAGCATCAGGGTCTTTTCCAGTGAGAAGGCTCTTTGCATCTGGTGGCCAAAGTAGGTTCTTAAAACCCACTGAAACACCAAAATCATGGCCCCGATTGTCCATTTTCGGGGACATGGAAAATACGCACACGCACAGACACAAGTCCTCAGCAGCTGGTGTGTGAGAAGCTCTTGCCTCCTAGAAGGTATCCCACATGTGTGTCCATGTCCTCCTTGGCTCGGTTAACTCTCGAAGAGTAGCTTCAGAATACTGGGATTCTTCCTTCCTTATAACTTCACATTGTCTGCTTAGCAGAAGAATCATCAGTGCCTATGTTTAAAGCATGCCTTAATTTTCGTTGTTGTTGTTTATTTTCTAAGACATATCTGACTCTTTGCAACCCCATGGACTGTAACCCACTGGGCTCCTCTGTCCGTGGGATTTCGCGGGCAAGAATACTGGAGTGGGTTGCATTCCCTTCTCCAGGGGATCTTCCCAACCCAGGGATCGAATCTGTGTCTCCTGCATTACAGGTAGATTCTTTACCACTGAGCAAATTGTGACTCCGGTTTTTACTATCCCTAAAAACAAAGACTTGCCTAATCTGTGGACACTTTACATTGAGGAGGGAAGAAAGTCCCCCAGATAAAGATTGTTACTACCTTTGAGACATCCCAGGAGTAGTGGAGAGAGAGAGAGAGTGGAGATGATGTCCTTTGGGTGCCCAGACCATCTGCCAGCAGTTTCCTAACTGATCCTCTCCTCTTGGAATTGAAGGTACTTTGACCTGCTGTCCAAACTCCCCGAGGATCTGAAGAATTTCCGCCCTGCGAGGAAGATCCTGGCAAAACTGCAGAAGTTTGGGGAAAACCTGGACCTGAGGATCCGACCGCATGTCCTCCTAAAGGTGCTTCAGGAGCTGAGAGCCTGGGAACTGTGCTCCCCAGACATCGCAGTGGCCATCGAGGTGACGAGCACTTCCTTTCCCCTCATAACACCCCAGACACACTCATTCTGGCCTGTCAACATCCAGGCACTGTTGAAGTTTTTAAAGTTTTTTAAAAGGCATAAAGGCCTTCATGGAACTCATCATCCAATAGAAGAGGCATTGTCCTGTGACCTTGGTTGTTCAGCTCCAGGGGACATTACATTCTGTGTAAATGATGCCCCTGGGAAACTAGGAATCTTTGGAGAAACATAAATGAATGGACATGTGAGCGCAATAACTGACAGTCATAGTGAGCAGCACTCTAAATCTTGCAACTAAAATCGTGGCCTGTGGACCTCAGATGGGTGCTTGTTAGAAACGCGGCATCCCAGGCTCTGAACTGTATCTGATCAGCTCAGCATCTGTGTTTCAGTGAGATGCCCGGTGACTGGTACACACAATAAAGTTTGAGGAGCCCTGATTTAAGGTAAATGTAGAAGAGGCTTCTCTTAACGAGAGCCCCCTGAGGAGGATGGCTTTTAAGCTGAGATCTGAACAATGAAAAGGCAGCAAGCTGAAGAGAAGGGGAATAAGCAGGTGCCCAGGCCCCGGAGCCCCAGGACAGAACTCGAGCTGCTAGAGGGATTCAGCGGCAGCCAGTGGCTCTGGAAGGAAGAGAGCAGGAAGGTGCATGGTTCCCAGGGGACCAGGAAGGTCAGCATGTGCAGGTCTCCAAACATCAAGTTAAGGATTTAGGTCTTTAGCTGAAGGGTGCTGAGGAGCCTCACAAGGGTCTGTAGTAGCAGCCTACCTTCCCCGCCCCCCCCCCAGAAATTCCTGGTACCCTATTCCCTTAGGGCATCAAAAGTTGTCAGTAGATGAGGGGAGGAGGAAGGGCCCCCCTACTGAGGTATTAACAGATGTCTGTGAAGTCACTTCCTTAATTTTATGTGATGGCAAATGTACATTTTAACGCACATTTTCAGTGTCTCAAGACAAAGAAGTGTTTTCAGTGTCTGAAGGTTTTCAGTGTCCCAAGACAAAGAAGTGACTCAAATGGTGGCTTTTTTGGGACTCTCAGTGTTTTCATGATGGTCTGGCCCTTCCACAGGCTGACCTGGCTTGTGTATGTGGGCGCACAGTCAGGAGTTGGGGGAGGGAGAAATACCCTGTGGACAAGCTCAAATGTCCAGACTCCACTTCCCACATCTCATGAAGCTCTTTCATGGGAGAATCTGGCAGGCTAGCCTGAAACTAAGTCTCTAGGGCATCTTTCCAGTTGTGGGGTGTGCATTCCACCTGCCACTTAGAGAAAGATTGAAGGCAGGAGAAGGCGACAACAGAGGACAAGATTGTTGGATGGCATCACTGATTCAGTGGACATGAGTTTCAGCAAACTCCAGGAGATGGTGAAGGACAGGAAAGCCTGACCTGCTGCAGTCGGTTGCAAACAGTTGGACACGACTCAGTGACAGCTTATGGAAAGGCTGTTTCTGAGTGGGTGAAAGGAGGGGAATATGGATATGGGTGCTCCCCTTTCTCTGGGCTAAGTTTTATTAGCCCTAGCTCATAAAAGTTAGCATGCTCTTCTCCCAGTAGAACATCACAGAACTTCTGTTAACCTGGATGTGGGGGGGTTCTCTTAACCTGAAATTCATGTGAAACTCTGGGCTTTGTGTCTTAACCCTTTGCTGGAAGCAAGCCTGTGGCTGTTCTCAATTCTCAAGGGAGTCTGTGAACCCAAAAATGTTTATGGACAAATGACTTTTTAAAAAGATATTCAGCAATAGAAAAGAGAAAAAGATGCAGACAGCTGGGTTTTTCTGCTCTCCCCAGATTTCTTTGGGTCAGTAGTGACAAAAAGGGGCTTAAAATTAGCCTGCTGAACTAGGAAACTGAAAAGAGGCTCTTTTCTTGATTATGAATGCCTGAGGGGTTGGCGGTATCCTGGAGCCACCAGCCTCAATCACGAATCTTCTGGGATCTGCTTGGGGAGGTTAGAGGCACTGAGTCTAGCTTTCAGACCAANACTGTGCTCCCCAGACATCGCAGTGGCCATCGAGTTTGTGCGAGAACACATCATCCATATGCCTCAAGAGGATTACATCAGCTGGCTGCAGAACCGGATCAGCATCCCCATCCAGTCCCAGAGTGCCCAGACGTAGTGGGCCTGGGTCAACCAGTGAGCCCAGTGGAGGAGGGCTGTCTACACCGTGTGCCTGCTCTCATGGAGTCTCTTGTGATCTGGTAGGGTCATCTGGAGACCAGATTCTGAAAACATTCTAGGGGGAGCTGCTCCCAGGTGGAAGCCCCCTTCTCCCTCACACACCAGCCTCAGGCTCCCAGCCACTGGTGCTCATTGGTCCAGCCTGACTCTACCTACTCCCTCTCCAGGATCCTTCCCTCTAAGCCTTCTCCTCAAATACTGGATAATAAAATTGAGTTGAATGTTTGCTCTCCGGCTGGGGAAAAGTTGGAGCTGTGGGATCTGGGTGTGGTGTTGAAATCCTAATAATAACATACAGTTATCATTTATTGATATGCAGCAGGCCCAGTGCTAAGTGATGTTCTTGCCGAATAATCTCACAACTACAGTTAAATAGGTGCTGATGTTATGCCCATTTCATACCATTAGAGCAAGAGTGTAGTTCTCAACTTTATGTATACTGTCCTAGATAGAGATAAGTGGGTGGGTTGGTGGGTGAATGGATGGAGCACTTCCCAACAAGGCAAGTGATGTGCAAGAAAATCTCATCCTTAAGAATCCTTGTAATATTTTGTGTTGGGTTTGGTTGTACAAGGAAGCTTAACATCCTGTCATCTCAAAATTGTGTGGGTTTATTGCCATTTAACCTCTTTTCTCATCTTCTTCTTTTCCCATCTCGGTCTTCTCCCCTCTACATCTTACTAAGTTACAGGACCTGTAGTCATTTTAACTCTCTCACTGACAGCCAAACTGAATTAACAGTTAAACAACTGGACCTGATTATCGGAATGCTTATATAGGCTGGAGCCCAGCATCTCCGCATGATCCAGAAGGGGTGGAAAGAAGAAGAAAGTCGAACTGTTTTTCTGTCTATGCAGCATCTCACCTATTCAGTTATTTACTCTTTTTAGTCGATGAATATTTATCAAGAACTGAATATGCATCAACCAAGTTCTAGGTTCTAAAGGTAGAGCAATGATCAAAGCAAACAAGGTCCCCGATCTCAGATAATTTACCTAGAGACACGGGTCGGCAAGGGTCGATGGAGAGAGGAGAGGGACCACATGATATCCACACGTGCTCTTTGTTTAGTGTGATGGCGAGGCAAGCCACGGGGTGGAGAGGTGAGACGTGGGCTCTAAGGAGGCCGCTCAGTTAAGAGACTCTAAACTTCTCTGTGTGTGTTCAGTCACTCAGTCATGTCCGGCTCTTTGCAGCCCTGTGGACTGTAGCCTGCCAGGCTCCTCTGTCCTTAGGATTCTCCAGGCAAGAAATACTGGAGTGGGCTACCATTCCCTTCTCTAGGGGATCTTCCTGAACCAGGGACTGAACCTGGGTCTCCTGCATTGCAGGCAGATTCCTCACAATCTGAGCCACCAGGGAAGCCCCTAAACTTTTCTGCATTAAGTCAGGGTTGGGGTGAGGGGGAGTGGAGAAGAAAGAAGGAGGGCAAAGGCCTAGAGGCAAAAAGAAACTCGATGTCATCTGAGGAACTAAAATAACATATGTCTGTCTGGACTGTAAGGTCAGCTTGGTAGTGAGCACAGGGAAGGAGAGGAGGCGAGGCTGGGGAGGGAGTTTTAGATGCCTTCTAGGCCACGTTAATTTTCCCTGCTGGCTCAGACAATAAAGAATCTACCTGCAGCGCAGGAGACCCAGTTTGATCCCCAGGTCAGGAAGATCCCCTGGGGAAGGGAATGGCAACCCACTCCAGTATTCTTGCCCAGAGAATCTCAAGAACAGAAGCAGGCTCTAAGCCATAGAGTCGCAAAGAGTCAGACACAACTGAGTGACTAACTTTTTTCTTTCTTTCAGGCCATGTTAGAAAGTTTAGACCAACTTACTGGCCATGGGGAGCCAGGGAAGGATTTTCAGCAGGGGAATAATCATATTTCCATTCAGGAAAAAAAAAATAACCACTGTGTGAGTGCAAGGCAGGGAACAGGGTGCTAAGATGAGGCTGCCGTAGCAGTGATTGTAGGGAGCACATGACAGTGGGGCCAGGGAGATCCATTAAAAGGATATTTAAAAGGTGGAATCAGCAGAAGTCGGTTTGGTGTATTACAAGTGAACAGAAGACAAGAACATCGGGAATCATGTCCGATTTTCCAGCTCAGACCACTGGGTGGAAGTTGGTACCTTTAATGTAGCAGAAGGAAAGGAAGAAAAGAACATTCAGAATGAGAAGGTAAGGAGTTCTGTTTTGAGCATACTGAATGGGAGATGCTTGTGGGGTAGTCAAATGCGGGCATTTAAAACTCAGGAGAGTGGGTGGCAGTGGAGACAGACACAGGTCATCAGCATCCTATGGGTCATGACAGTTAAAGCAGGAAGTGGGAGGAGAGGGCAGAAAAGGAGAGGAGAGAGAGGGTCTTGAGGACTGGGCTTGCAAAAAGCTTCAAGCAGCCACTCACAACCTAGCACTGACGGAGGGACAGCTTCCTTCCAGACACTGCAAAATGCTTGCTATGTGCTATGTCATTTCATCATCACCATCCTGCAAGGCAGGGCTCCCCTGCCTTACAGATGATGAAATGGAGCCTCCAAAAGGTGTTTTGTACCCATGTTCAGCTAACTCTACATTCCCTCCCATTTGCTGCTGCCCTCTGACCCTGCCCCCCAGCCCTAATCATATGAGAGAAGGAGGTCACTAAAGTTACCTTGCTTTTGGAACCATGCCCCCAGGAGTAGCTCTAGTGATGGAACTTCCTAGCATCCCGTTAACTTACTTTTACTCTGTGTTCCACAGTTTGCATCCTACTTGATGGTCACAGCATACCTCTCATGTGAGCATTGTTATAATCCCCATTTCACAAGTAAGGATGCCAGCACTTGAGATCATTTGCCAACAGTCACATAACCGGTAAGCAGCAGAGCCAAGTCTAGAACGTGTCTGTCTTTCTATCTTGGGCAGGGGAGATGAGAGACTTACTCCACCCTTCTTCTCATCCTGTTCCCAGCCTATTTCTCAGAGCTGTAGCTCCATCTAGTGGTGTGTATTAGAATTAGCCTTCCGTCTTGCTCTCCAGGAAAATATTTAAAACCTGCCAAAAAGGAACTGGGCAGGCATTAACAGCTTAGGCAAGGAGTATTTATTCAAAGGAAGATCTTTTATGACTAAAATAGACTAGGGACTAGAAGGAGGCAATACATCACCCCCAACTCCCAAGCTCAGAGAAGAACCTCAGGGAGAAGTATTTTTGCCATGAGCATTTCATCAGAACCATAATTGAGTACCTACTATATGCCAAGCCTGTGTCAGATGGTCCCCTGGCCCACTGCTCCTCTGACTGAGCCACCTGCATGGCTATCATGAGAGTATTTAAAACCCCATGTGCCCTGGAGAGGCTTTTTCTGTAAAGGAGCTGGAGCAGATGCAGCAAATATCTGTTGCATATTCTTTTTATATACATGGCCGTTTAAAAATGTAAAAACCTGCGATTGCAGGTCATATAAAAATAGACCACAGGTCATATTTGGAGCATGGACCAGAGTAGAACAGAGGGATGGACATGTAAGGTAATCTGATAAAAGTCAACCCCTGATCTTGTGTTGGAACTGGTGAGAGCAAGGAGCTTTCTGCTGGAATTAATGACAATGAGGATAAAATAAGTCTACAGCTTCCAAGAGCCACCACACAGACACTGCCAACCAGGAGAGAAAAATGAAGTTGAGAAATGCAGTAAGAGAGGTATCAAATCTCGGTTACACTGTGAGGGCACCTGGATCAAGTCGGACCTTTGAACTGGACAAAGCCTGCTTAATAAGACAGATTTGGTTTGGTCTCCTTAACTTGCAACAAAAGGTTCCCTAATTAGAGAAGAGGGATCCGTGTGTAAGTGTGACTAAATTCCAGACAGCCCTGAGGAAGGGTCTTTCCTCTCACAGGGCTAGTGGCACAGTAGCGGGAGAGACTGTCTTCAGATACATTGTGCAGGTAAAGCAAAGAGAAAAATCAGAGTTAAAGCCACAGCATCAATCAAAAGACAGGAAAGACTAGGAACACAGATGTTTTATCACTCAGCTTTGCAAATGTCAATTTTGCTTTAAAAGAGTATAAAATACATGTAAGGTGGGTGTCATTTATCATAGCCAACCCTCCTGTATGTGACAGAACGTGCGGATAGGTGACGTCCCAGCTCCATGGTCTCCAAAGTGGGAGGTGAGGAGGTAAAAGAGGTGGCCCTGTCAAAAAGGATCCATTAGGGAGAAGATGATATTGGAATTTAGAGTTATCTTAACTAAACTAGTAACTTAGATGTGGCTTGACTCCGGAACCTTTGCTCAGTCTATACTGAGAATGGTCCCATGCGTCTGGTATCAGTCAAGCCAGGAAACGCAAGAGGAGAGGAGAGAGTTCCACAATATAAAATGGTTAATCATGGCATCATTGTCTTCTCACCCTCAGTCTTCCAATAAACTACGATACTTCTTTTTTTTTATTTTTAATTGTTTTTTAATTGAAATACAGTTAACATATAACATTGTATTGGTTTTAGGTATACAGCATAATGACATATATATATATATATATATATATATATGTAAATTGTGAAAGGATTACCAAGTCTAGATATTATCTATCATCAACTCACACAGTTACATTTTTTTTCTTGTGATGAGAATTTCTAAGGTCTACACTCTGAGCCACTTTGTCCAATATGGTAGCCACTACTTGCTTGTAGCTACTGAGCACATGATATGTGGCAGGCGCAAACTGAGCTGAGCTATAACTGAAAATATACATGGGACTTTGAACCCTTAGTATGAAAAAATGTGGGATATCTCATTAACTTTTTTTAACATTGATTGCATGTCAAAACGATAATATCTGGGGTATATTGGGTTAAATAAAATGTTGTATTAATTTCACTTGCCTTAACTTTTTAATGTGACCCATAGGAAACTTAAAATTGCATGTGTGGCATGCATTATGATCCTACTGGATTAGAGGGCTTGAGACTGAAGGTGAGAAGACCAGTGAGGAGAAATCGGGAGAGGATGAGGCATCCCCAGGCTGTGGGGTGGGGAGAAAGTATAAAAGGGGAGACACTCAGGCTTCTGTTGCAGGATGTAGTGTAGTGATGGAGTTGCAGTGTTTAACTCTAGAATTAAAAGCCTGGGCTCTGGGACCTGGTGGTCTGGTCCCAAACCTGACTCTGACACTTACCAGCTCTATGACCTTGAGAAAGTCACTTAACCTGCCTGTTGTGCACCAGTTTCCTCAATAGTACAGTGTGGGTAACAGTACCCACTTCATAGACTGGCTGGG